CAAGCCAGTTCTTAACCATCGCGCCACTTAGCCGGCCCCAGAGCTCGCACTCTTGAGTGAGCTCTTAACCAACTGAGCCACTCAGCCGGCCCAAACTTTCTTCTTTTTGAGTAGAAAGTACACTCTAAAACAAGGATGAATAGTGCAGTGGCTACATAAGACAGTAAGATGGCGTCTGTTAGCACGTTTGTTTACACCAGCATCGCCACACACAGAGTCACGCGTTGTGCCCCTACAGCTACGTCACTGGCGACAGTTATAACCTCATGGGGCCGTGCAGTGCATGCGCGCTGCCGTTGACTGAAACGCCGCTAGGTGGCGCACGACGGTACCTGTGTCTCATATCTAAAAAGTGTTTCTTACAGGCAACATAGACTTGGCTCTTTTTTACCCCATTTGACAATCTCTGCCTCTTACTGCAGTTTTGACCACCTCCATTTAGTAGGATTACTGATGCTTCAGACTGAAATCAATCACCAGGCTACTTGTTTTCTGTGTGTCTCACCGGTTCCAGGTTCACAGTCAGAGTTCAAAACCCTCTCTAAGTAATGCCTGTCCCCGGGGACAGAAAACCAGTGAGGTTACAGTAGGTGGGGCCACGTGTACCTCTGCCTCCTCTTCACTTAGTTACTTTTATGATCCCCTCTCATCTCCCGGTCTACTAGTTACCCTCCCTGTGTTCTTATACTTCAGTGGCTGTTCTAGGGTTTAGAGTGTGTTTCTTTCCCTGACACAATCCACTTCAAGTGGATGTGATGACTTCACACACAGTAGGGCAAACTCACAGTAATGTCCCCCTCGCCCACCCCTTGTGCTGTTATTGCATATTTGAGGTCTATGTATCGCACAGACTCACAATATATTATTTCAGCTTTAAAAAAAAATCAATCACCTTTTACAAAATTATTCTGAAAATGTTATTGTGGAAAGAGGTCTCAAACATTCTTCAGGGCACAACACAGCAGTGTCAGCCATGGGGTGCGTATTCTTCCTGCATAGGTGGGACCTTACGCCCACGATCACAGCTCTGCGTCCTCCCTGCCCCCCCCCCCTCGATCCTAGGAGTTGGACGATTTTAGTATCTCATATGAGAGGGACCATGAAGTGCTTGTCTTCTGTGACTGGCTTGCTTCACTCAGCATAATGTCCTCAAGTGCGCCTATGTGCATACAACAGGGTTTCCTTCTTTTTAAAGAGTCAATTATCTTTTACAGAGATTTTTTTTTTCTTTTTCTTTCTAGGTGATCTAATACATCAAAGCAATCAGAGTGACAGCCAGAATGAAGAAACAAAGAAACATGTCCCAAGTAAAAGATCAGAAGAAACCCCAAGAAATGGAACTAAATGAAACAGAGGTATCGAACATTTCAGAGACAGTTTAGACGCTAAAGAGATTTTTTTAAAAATAAGAAAAAAACTCTTCAAATTCGCCCACATATTCCATTTCT